ACTTAGTCATGCTGTTTTCTGTTCAAATCCATTATCTTCAGACTCCAGGTTTGCACACCCCCCCACACACACACAACTGCTAACCACGCCCAACTGTGCTTAGCTTCTAAGACCAGATGAGACCCTCTGTTTCAGAGTGATAAGGTCATTGGCTAGACAGTTATCTCCCCAGTGAAGCTCCACCAATGGGAACTGGGCTGGTATTCTTTGGAGGTCTTTGTTTTGCTGCCATTTATACTTTGGAACTTGTGATCTGTGCTGGTACCTCACAGTGCTTTGATTCCTTGGCACCTAGCATACAACGTTACATAAAGCTGTTTGTTTCCCCATTCATTTATTTAGCTCTTTATATATCACATATCAACTAAGTATTTGCTGAATGGTTTGAATTGTAGGAGCTAATTTTTCCCCCACCTAACAATCTAGCAAGCAGCACCATCGCCCACAGATGGTTTGGCACAATGGAGAATGATCACCACGTCCCAATGCGGCTCAGGGAGAACAGAGAAACTAACATTTACTGAGCTCCCAGCCCGTGTTTAAGGCTCTTTACACCTGGGCTCTGAGATGTGACGCTTCAGAGAGCCCAGTTTTCAGCCCACCGCCTCCACTCCTCAGAATAACGAGCTGTATTTACCAAACGTCCCCTGCTAATCATCACTTTCTGGTATGTAAACCTTCTACCAAATTTCAACCTAAAGAGAAAATGGCTATGCTGACTTTTCCCCCACACAAACTATCCCTGGATTAAACAAATGAAAGTACTGACTCTTTATCCAGAAATGCTAATAAATACTCTGCTAAAGATTTGCAACTTGCTTAAAAAAGAAATTTTCATAAGTCAGCCCATTTGTGATGCCTGCTACTCTGGCTGTGTCTATGCACACTCCAAAAAGCCCTCCCCAGACCTTCTGCCATCTGAGCCTACGTAGTATCTTCAATTATTAAAATAGTGAATAATTTAAAACTTACATATACACCAGATTTTTCCTATGTTGTGACAAGGTGTGTGTGTGTGTGTGTGTGTGTGTGTGTGTGTGTGTGTGTGTGTGTTATCACAAACAAGGAGAATCTTTTAAAAATAATCATTGTGGCAGACCAAAGCTGACAATCTCCATATATTCACTGAATTGTTTCAGTCAGTTCCAAAGACAAATTCTTCACATGAGCTAGTCCAAGAAGAAGCCTTCCTTAGTTGGGTTAAAAAAAAAAAATCTGAAAAACTAGGCAGGAATATTTTTCACTAAGAAAACAAACCCCTTGCCTTTCTCTCCACTGCCACCCTAAACCAGGCAGCCATCAGGGTTATAGGCACACGATCCAGCTCAACAGAATCACCCTTCCCACAGCCCCTATCTAGAGACACGTAAAGGGAGTAGGTAAAGTGATGGGACTCCTCAATGCTGAAAAGATAAGGGTGTTGGGTAAGCTGCTAGTCCCTGGGGAATGACAAGCAACACAATTAAGACTTGTCTTTCACAGAACACAACCCTATTGTCAGAACCTGTGATGCCAGGCCCAGGGGAAGTATGTTTCATTAACACCTGGATAGCAGTCCACTGAGCTAGAGCTCTCTGTGGATCTCAGTGAAATACTGACCTGTTAAACTTAAGATAACTTTCCCAACTGCTCTTGCAGAGACTACTTCCTGTTAGGCTTCAGTGTTGACCATAATTAACTGTATATATGTTTCTCTTATTGGTTGATGAATAAAATACTGTTTGGCCAATGAGGCAGGAAGATAGGCGGGACACGGAGAAGAGGAGGATTCTGGGAAAGGTAGGCAGAGAGAGACCAGCCAGAGGAGTTGTTATGCTGCCAAGAGTAACACTATGCCGGGGCATTACCAGGTAAGCCACAGCCTTGTGGCAATACACAGATTGACAGAAATGGGTTAAAAATTAAGACAGAGCTAGCTAGCCAATAAGAAGTCCTAGCCATCAGCAAACAGTTTAATAATTAATATAGCATCTCTGTGTGTTCATTTGGAACTGAAGCGGCAGGACATGGCAGGACAAGAAAAACCTACAGCAACAGGTAACAAGTTACAAAGACAAGGGGATTGTTCTGTCATCACCTCAGGTTTAATGTCAGGACCTGCTGACCTGTTTGAATATGCCTGAGGAGGGGAGGTGTGGATTGAGGAAAAAAATAAGAAATAAAAGATAGAGTCTGGAGGGCATCCAATGAGTACTGCAATCAGCCCCAAGTTTATTACTCAAAGTTCTTATATACCCCAACCAAAAGGGGGGAAGGCAAAAAGACTCCCTTACCATATACAAAGAACAAACAAATGTAATCACCTACTCAATATCCAAAACATCAAGTAACCACACCTTAGCTCAAACCTCCTGTTATCTGGCTTGAGGATTAAGACATCTAGTAGCCATCAATACCTCAGGCCAAACATCCATCAGTAGCCACACCTTTAGACCTTCGGGTCTCAGGCCTTTAACCCTGAAAGAGCAAGGATGGGTTTGAACTCTCTGACCCTAACTCAATGTGGAATGGAGCCACTTCTGTGGGCCCTGACATTTTAAGTGATCCAGGAGAGACTGCTTCTTCCTTGTATGTGAGGACCACCATACAGTGAAGTCCTAGGGGACCGCATCTCCAGCTTCTACACAGACAGTCTTGAAAATGATGCCCTCCATTTTAAGATTCTAACCTATGACTCATTTAGCTGTTTTTAATCCCTACTTTTAATGCCCTGGTTTCACTTAGTCAGCATCCAGGCTTCATCTCTTGATGCTCACGGCAGTTTACTTCTGCTTATGTCTCGATAATGAAGCACTTACTATGCTCCTTGTGAGATACCGTGAAGACTTCCAGAGACAAACACAAGAAAAAGAAACCTTCCCTGACTTATATAACCTATTTACCAGAAGACACTGTCAGTCTTAAAATTTATCAGAAAAAAACAGTCCCACCATTATGGCTGATTTTAAGCAAGCTTTTATTAAAATTTTTAAATACTGACCCAAGATTGGTCAGGAGCATCACCTGGAAACTTTCTGGGTGAGTGACCTTGAGACATGTGTTGGCGAGGTTTACATAGACAAAACCCACAGGCCAGAATACTTTCTCATGAGGCTTTGTTGTTAGTTTCCAAGAACTCCAACTCCCAGAATCTCAGGCAGTTACCTTGTCTTTGGGCAGGTGGAGTTTACAGGTTAACTTCGGGTCTAACAACACCAGCTATAAACTTTGATTTCTTGAATTCTTTTTCTTGGTCCTAGTTTTCCCATCAGTTTTCTCTATAACCTTGTCTCAGAGAAGGTTCATGGTTCCTGAAGAATAATACCCAAGGTTCATCTCTGACCTCCAGGTGTGCACTAATAACAACATGCACAATGCACATGCATGAACACACAAGCACCCCCACCAAAGAACATAGAACAGAAAGAAACAGACTCATGAGCTCCCCCTTTGCCTTCAGCACCTCTGCATATTGGCAAATGCATCCCCTCATTCCTGTTGGTGCAGGTAAGAGGCTCAGGTGTCAGAGAAATGAAGTTCTTTACCATAGGCCCCAGAGAAACAAAAGGAGAGCCACAGCTGAGACCAAAGTCAACAACATGCCACATGTCACTAAGAGTAAGCAAGTTTCCTGGCTCCCAACTTCAGGCAGTCTAGTTTAAAGCAAAATATCACCATTCACAGAGACAGTAACAGTAAATAAACCTCACCGTCAGCTCTTTTAGCATTGACCAGAATAGCAGGACTTCCTTCTCCTTTGCCCTGGCCACAGATAAAGTCATGAGCCTTCACTTAACTTTGCCTCCCTTGATTAGCCAGCTAGCACTGGAGTCCTGC